GTTTCAAATAAATACATTGGCGGCGCCTATAATATCTAATGAAGCGACATGCACAGTCTGAAATACACACGCCTATGCTTTTTTTATCTTTTGTAACTATTACATGCGCGTTTCAGTTAATTAATGATTACGCAATTACTGCGTAACAGCAACATGCACGCTATAATGTCCCTCGTTGTATTCAGGCGTCGATGCAGTCAGTTGATTTTAATTAGATGGAATGTACATTTCAAAGTGTTACAATCAGAGACATGTTAGAATAAACAGTGAACCCATCAAATGCACTTATATTGCTAGTACATAGATTTGTTTCAAGTTGTAGTCTATGATTGGATAGCAGTTTGTAATTATCCTCGGGCGGAGCTACGTCACAAGACGTTCAACGTTGCTAAGACGCACATCACTGTATATGCATTTATATGGGCTCTGTGCGCGCTGCTGAGAAACGCCGGTCGAGCCGGTGAAAATTCGAGAAAACAACACAACTTTGAAGTAATCCTGAACAACCAAATTTATATATGTTACACACGTAGGGCTAATCTTGTTACACTGTTCAGGGGAGTCTCAACAACCATCTCAAAGTACCGTTTTCTGTGAGTTGTTTGGCCTTTGTTTTCACCGCGAGGGTTGCCAAGTGGTGAAAATGCCCGGATGTCCGCCCTGAGGATAGTCAGTTACTGCAGACAATTCAAACTTAAATAATGGGTTAACGTTCGTATACATCGCCCCTCGTTAATAAGCTTTAATCCAAACTTAATTCTCATGACCAGTCTCACTGTACTGTCAGCGGCTTTAATTCGACCATTGGTCAAGCTACATGTTGGCGGCTGTCACAGTTGATTGATTTTGCAGATGATATCGATTCACAACTGGTAGTCAACAAGTCTGAATTTGCGGCCAATTTTGTTTCATTTCACTATATCTTAGAATGGGCGTTGACGCCTAAGAAAACTTATATTCTATGGAGGCATTGTTCTGGGAATTTGGTATGTAACTTAGTGTTGCAGTAAAATGTTTGCTGTTTTAATTGTTTTATAGTCAGTGTTGATGCGAAAAGTGAGTTGGGAATACGACTTGTTATTCACCGATAAGTTTGTTTTTTTTTCACCACACGAAATTGTGCAATTTGATTGGATGGCTACTTGGTGTTCAAGTGAGGTTGAATGTATATTGTCAGTTATCACAATAATCACAATTTATTCATCATGAAATAATTAATAATATAAATGCACACTTTCCCCTCTGATGTAAATCAGTCTCGCTTCTAGGAGCAGTAGATAATACGAAGTTCAGTTTCAGGGCATAACGCCATCTTGACATTGCCATAATTTGCATTCACACCTAATAACTTTTTTTTTTTAAATTTTAGATGCATTTGTTTGCAGAGGCTATGTGACTTCGCCGCCTTATCTGTATTCGTGACTTCATTATGCAAATCATTATCACGTGTTGTGTAATTGTCACTAGAATGCGCCAAACACTGGAATTAGCGGAATTTTAGTGTAAGTCTGACAGTCACCCGACAACTTCGGTAACACGACAACACGACAACACGAGTCTAAGCTGTCGCTCACTGCTGGCGTCAAAAACTGAATTTCTGGTTGGACGGTAGAAACGGACTAAATTGCAAAATCAATATTTAGTTTGAATCATTTTATATTGAGTTTAGTCTGAGACGCTCATAAGACTCATGAGCTGTTCTCGCTACCGCCATTGGGTTCCTTCTATTTGAATTTCTAGAACGACTGTTTTTTTCATGCTATGAATGTGTCCAAACTAACTTCGATCAGCTAGCATTACGTACTCCTTAGGTTAGTAGTGTTTAGCACATACCCGCAACAGAATTCGAACTGCAATGCATGGCAGTATCTATTTTAGCAGACAAAATAACCAGCTTCGTCAATAACGGCGCAATACTCCAGGTTTACTTCTGCATAGCTCACCAACGTCACAATTAACAGGTTTAATTTCAAATAAAGTTATTCAAAATCAAAAAGAGCTTTCAGACACTACGATTTCAAGGAGGCTTTAAATAGAGAAATTACAGTCACCCAATCTTTATATATAAATCCTGATATCAAACTCAATCGTCTTTTTCACAAACATATTATTGCACGCAAATACGGGTAAGTATCTATTCTTTTTGTTCATCAAATATAAATCGATGGACTTAGTTGTACACTATCGCCATTAGAAAGTACATTTCGAATGTATTGGCAATAACATGGCGAGTAATTGTATTGCGTTTCAATATTGGCTTCAATTCATTCCGTCGCATTTGCTTTCATCTTTCATTATACCGCTGATCTTGCGCAGGAAATGAATGCATTTAACATGGACATCCTAATGACATGTTATATATAATGCACGTTGTCTGTGGTTATATATCGTTTTCAAACTATGTGAAGTATTATATCAGATTTACTTTATTATTATCTTAAACTGAGATTCATGGGTTCTGGAGAAATAATGCTTTCCAGTTCCGGGATACATCTAAGTGGTTGACAATTACGCCAATTCCACTCTGCGGTGACAACTGTTCGGGCGCCACTTTTTAAATTTGACTAATTTAGCGTAATTCGTCTTTATTCGTGAATGTTTCCTCATGTGTCAGCTCCACAAATTATCGATGTTTTTCCATTTCAATAGCAGTCAGCGCGAAATTGCTAGCTCAGCTAAACATCGTTTATTGGTCGCAAATATGTACTTTTATGTGTGTCAATTCAGTTGTTGTGAAATTATACCAATTGCTCGTTTTTTATTAATTATTAATCAATTATATGCTAATTTATCTTTAAAAAATAATAATTAAGAAACTGGGAGAAAAGCAACCTATCTTATTATTGGGAGTGCTTCCTTTAAACTTTCGCTTTAGTGTATGCTGGCTTGAGGGCAAACACGTGGTGGTGACACTACAACTGAACAAATAGTGTTTCTCGACTCAGGAAAGGAAAGTTAGTAACAGTTGGTTTACTTGGAGAAAATCGAATACCTGTATTGTCGAGTTGCAAGTTTTTCACGTTGTCATAATTAAAAGCTCGGTGCTGGTACACAAAATACGATCGTCAGTTGGAAAATATGTGCAACACGGTACAGTCGATACTGTAAATGGAATGCATCTGTAAGCGCATGGTAAATTCAGTTCATCAATTCAGTTTGTTAATGCCTCAAAATCGACTTTATTTCAACTCGTTGAAAAAAAAAAACATCAATTACACCAGACATGTGGAATCTATACATTTAAGCTAATGTCATATGCTTGCCGAATTATATAGCAGTTCGAAACAGTTAAACAGCGCAGTCTGCAATATTTACGTTGCAATATTATATATAGAAGATTGCTTACATATTTGCAAACAAATTATGATTAGTTTTGTGACCTAAAATGATATATGTCTTATTGTGAAGATTTATCACTCCAAGTTGTACAACAACATACAATACACCATATGAATTATTGATATGCGATGAATTATACATAGAAATCTTATAAATCCCATGAATCCTACCTAATAATTCATATGTGTATAAAACCGCATATGTAAAAATGGAGACGCGCGGAGCTACATGATTTGCATCGTTATGGTGTGCATGAGAGACAATCTGAGCTGGTGCGGTTCGCAGTTGACAACGGTGACTTCGAATTTCTAAATGGGCGTTTGTGTTACAATAGTAGAACTAAAACAAGTCATCGTCAGTGTTAAATTATAAACGCTACGCTACTGCAGCGTGTATGTTTAATTCAGTTTATATTCTGTTGGCGTCTTTGACCTTTATTTATAAATGCAAATGGTGCACCCTGGTGGACAGTAGACATATAAACAAGAGTTTTTTTCTTCTTAAATTTGATTCCGTTTAACGCATTGTATTCTTTAATAAAATAATGCGTTGTGTCGGAGTAGTCACGTAGTCACGTGCTAAATCTTTTATATGACGTCACCAAAGCTGCTGAAATTTGCAGAACATTGCTCGGTGTATATATTTCGAATAAAAGAGCAATGCAAAACAAGTACGGAGACGAGGTAAAGTGTTGAGTACACGTATATAACGGGGTTGTTGTCAGAACTTCGTAATAAGTGCGCATGTTGCGACCACCGTATCGACCAACGCTTATTTTACTATAGGCAGATCTCAAAGAATATTCAAGATGTAATTTTCATAAATAAAACTGTTGTTTTTTTCTCGTGAACTGTATTACTGACACGAATCTAATGATACATTTACCGATATTTTCCGTTTCTTTTTTTTCCTATAAAAAAATAAACGCTTTCTAATTAATATGTTACTTGTATTTATAAATTATTGAGTACCTGTGTATAATACCAAAACGTCATACCATGCTAATCTTGGGATAATGCCGCATGTACAAGGACGCATATTAAATTAGCTAAATCTGTTACGATGTGCATCAACAATTTGTTAGCCCTTGTTTTGGATACGGGTAATAAATATATATAATACAATATATCTTAATGTATATATATATATATATATATATCTATATATCTATATATCGGGAACTAATATATGACAACTTACTCTGCTATGATTGCGGGAGGGGAGGGAATGTAGCAGCATCATCCTTGACCCCTCCCTTTCTACCCGCTATCTTACTTATGTATGTACAGATTACCTTTAATCCTATGTTAAGGGAAATCGAGTCTCCTGAGAAAATTTAATCTCCCCCAATACTCGCGGGTATGCGATCATGTTTTCTATGGTCGATATAGTCATGTTGATATTCGTGGAATGTACCAACTTGAGGTGGGTACGAGTGGAGAGTTCCTTGGGATTACGCGCCGTAATTGAAATATACAAATAAAAGAGCTGGTGGTTGATCATGGTAAATGAAATGAATGCGACACACGCAATGCATCACGGGATGTGATATGGCGTAACACGTTGATTGAACGTGAAAACTAACACTCGACACGATCTTAGATTAATATGGTGAATACACATGACAACGATTTACTAGACTACAATACCCAAAGTGAATGTTACTTACAGCGCGATGCACCACCAACCGTCAAAAAATATTCAAGAAATTTCTCTGAACCATCAGACGGGTATAATCCTTTCTTTCCTTCGACAGAATGAAAACCAACCGTCCTGTGGTCAATAACAGCATAGTACATTGCAAAACCAATAATGTAGTTGTGCTCGTCTTCGGCGTCGAATAACATCCCGACTATGTTCACTTCGAAGTATTCTAAAACCCGCAAAAGGGCGCTGGTCAGTTTACCCATGGGTGCGTAGGTTCGTACAAGAGTCGCAAATATTTCGCGGTCGCTAAGTATTGGATCTTCAGCCGCCCCAGAAAGCACTGGTATATTCCAATAGGTAGCGAGTGCGGATACCATCTCTACAGATAACCAGCAGGCGGGGCCAATAAATGCATCGGGGTCCCATTGGTTTTGCATTTTGGTGACTTCTAAAGTGGTTGTGACACGATCACATGTTGTATCATTGAAGACTATCTTCAAACGGTCGTTTGGCAGGATATACGCATTATCGTTGATTTTGTCAACAGCTATCTCGATCGCCGGCAAAACTCGCTGCTTGTCGTAAGGCCCCGTTCCGTACTGATCAGATCCTTCGAGCAAGGTGACGAGCACGAACTCTTCGGCGAGTGCCAGGTACCAGAGATTTGAAATAGCGAAGAGGAGAAGAATCAACCGACCTGCCATTGTGAATGACATGGTTGCTTTAATCGGACACCGTACGCCGTACGCGGCGCAGTACATACACGAATTGATTTACAATACGCGCGGGTAGACAGTGTTATTTACGAGAACATAAGGAGATTGTATAATATATATTTCATGACAAATTAAATTAATATATCTGTTCCTTTACATGGAAAAAGCAATTTCAATAAACTATGTTAAAAAAATCATTCATAATAGATAGCCGTATCATTTATTTTTAGCAGCAGGCGTGGAGTCTTGATTCATTAATATGTATCTAGTGACATACATATTTATATCTTGAAGACAGTTACTGCGCATGTGATATTTTATCATTTAATTTTTTTTTATTTTTAAATATATTTCTATTTAACAATGTGACAGCGGAGGAAGTTACCCGAAATCTTCAGTTCAATTGACTGGAGCAGTCGATCACTTTGTTTTATTGTTTACGTTTCACGTTTAGTTTTAGTTTTTAGAATCCGAAACGCTTAGCACATCTCGCATTTTTTACATGTAGAGTTGTGTGAGACAAGTTTTGTAAATGATCAAAGCGGGAGTTAAAACTGAAAATCCTGCCAGTGGTCGTCGTACAGAAGCGTTCGAATTCTCGCGACAATTGCGTTCACACGTGTTGTATACGTGTTGTATACGTCGCAACGAACTCATACCCAAAACAATGCGTCACAATGACCATGGCGTATTACTGTTGTTCCGATAATTCAGTCACAGTTCGGTCACTTTTCTAGTAGTCTTTGTCAGACTTGTAGATAATGCGGAGCTAACATGCTTTGCTAACTTATTCTATAATTCGCGAACATGCAATCGATCTGTTCCTAGATAGTAGGTTGCATCGTAGCATCGCTAACACTGTTGGTGTGATTAAATTTACAGCATATAATATGAGCATCAACTTCTCAAGTACATGTGATAATCACAGACGTAAACTTTAACAGATAACGCCAGGTAGATATTAATGCATTTGTTGAGCGCGGAGTTTATGTTTGCTGTACGAATAACAAGTTAATCTGTCTACCGAGTGATATTAATTCATTTTATGAAACACTACCATTATGTAAACAGACAGTTAACAGAATAATTTATAAACTGAGAACAGGTATCGTGACATGCTTGTATGTCTAATTATCTAATTTGGTGACAATGGTGACGATTGATCGTTTGATTTCACTGTCAACTTAGTAATATATTGCAGTAATTGCCATCCATTTAACGTTCCGTATAATGAATGCATAAACAGAACATTATGAAAATGTTATTAATTTGTAAAATATTTTCCCCGGATAACCATCGCAATTCACTGATTCAAAACAAAAAGAAATGGTTTTATTTTATATAGAATACATTTTTTTTTTATATATTATATATCAATATATGCGGGCATTTGAGGAGACTTTGTGATTGGTCAAGTTGTTTTTCATAAAACTGAGTGTACTACAAGTTTGTGAATTATTTTCATAAGTATATCAACGTCAACATAAAAAAATATTGTTTATTGAAGTGTTGTAAAAGATGGGCCGACTCATAACTTCAGTAATTGAAAAATATTATTTTCACAGTAATTAATTTGTGATTAATACAATTTGTCAATTTGAATAATAATTAGAATCATGCTTGAACTAAATCAAATACGTAAATATTACGTTGGTGGCAGTATAACTGATGTTTACTGATAGATAAGCTACGGCTACGATGACGCTCACTTTCGTTACTGGTCTGTTCGGGGTCGAGGCTATAGAATGTCTTAAAGACTTGATATGCAGCAAAAAGGTCATCAATCAACTAAGGTCCAAGTTCTCTGGTTCTCGGCGACCCCTGCGAATGCCAAGTATGACGCAGGTAACTGGTAATCGCCATGTTGTTCCACTGGGCCAGGATACCGGCCCAAAGGCACGTGACTGAGTGACGTAATTTGAAAACATTCCAAGTTCCATTCTACATACGTAAAAGTGTCTCCACGTCCATTCATTATGCCTGCTTAGACTACAAGGATAAGCGCTGACGTCAGGTAACCAAGCGAAATAGAACAAGCAGCGAGAACGTGATGGACCAATCAGAATGCATGGTCCATTACTAGTTACCGGCCTCCTGTGGCTTGGTGCGCCATGACACTTAGGGCGGGAACCAGCCAAAGGTCCCAAGGTATATAGCGCCATCAAAGTCAGCGCACACTTAATATATAATTGTACGTTTTAGCGCCTTCACCACTATTATATAGCGGAGCCATTGAGGGCGTCATAGTATTGACGAAGTTCAGATAAAAAGGTTATACGAAAAACACGTCTTTAAGAGCAAAAAACACGCACGAATAGACTAATAGACTATTTGCGGATTTCTGTGTCATGTGTTTTTTGTTCAAATACGTCAAAAAATGAGATTCGCCATTTGTGTCGTCTTTGTTTGTAGCTAGTTTTCATATAACGACTAAGATAATCCTCTAAGTGTATAAATATCCTCAAAGTTTTTGTAGGTAAACAATCGACTTACAGCGTGACCCTGAAAATGTACTGTCACCTCTTGTTCACATTTGAATAAGCATAAGCCGTTGTCACGTCGGTGCCGTCATGCACAAATTTTGAACGAGCCTGCAGCGTTACCGATCACATATTATAACGCGCACTACACATCCGCAAATCGTAGATTTAAAAATCGGAATAACACATTTCGAAAGAACATAAGTCGCGATTTTATAAAAATTCAAAGGCGCTTCACTATATGAAAACGTAGTCTCAAAACGTCATCAAAATGTCTCGCGGGCCGTAATGTCCTGTACACATTTGAGATGAGTTATATTGTTGAGTGTAATGCCACAGAGAAACATGTTATTAGACTAATCAAAGCATGCCGTCTCTGATGCAAGTACAGTGAAAGTAATATGTCCAATATGTACTAAGATAATTTATCTTTCATTCTTTCATTTTATTTATTTATAGAAGCCGAGTGCCACAAAAAGCTGTGTTGAAAATACGAAGGAATAGACACACTTTTAAACCACACTTTTTTAATGAGTTAATATACGATAAATTTAATACAGATCATACATTTTCATGAATCTGATACTAGGTTATCATACTGTTTCGTGATTCTTAAAACACAATAAAGAGGTGTAAATTGTAAATAGAATTCCCTTATATGTTGAATTTTATATTAAGAAATAAAAAGGCGAAAGTTTATTAGGTTAACCATATGTGACGTAGTACCCCTAAAATGACATGTACGTTACTGTGTTAAAATAAATTTGAAATACAAAGTAAAGCTAACTAAGCGATTTTGACATAATAATTTGTTTATCCAACATTGTATACTAATAATAAATGCGTGTTAGAAAATCTGTATTTTTTGAGGCGAAATGAACATTACCCACACAAATACGATGTTTACAAATAGCAAATGCGTACCGCATACATTCAGGTTTATAAATGGGAGAGATCAGGCACAAATATGTAAATGAATATTATCGACACACACCTTATTGGACGGAATGTGTGTGGCTAAAAATTCATATTGTATTGACATTTGGGGAAACACTTATACTACCTTCCTGCAGCTATTACTTTTGCTTCAAAAGAAAATTGTCCGCCTAATAACTTTTTCAAACTACCGCGCCCATACTGCCCTTTGGTATTATTGACATTCACAAACTCTCTAAATTCAATACTTGCCTGTTCACCTTTGACCTTCTTAAAAATCGCTTCGCACATGATATGAATCACTACTTAGATCCCCTTCCACACAATTACCCAACCCGACTCGCCATTGAAAACAATTTTTACATTCCACAAGTGCATTTAACTCAAAGTAAACATAATATCAAATACCCAGTTACAAAGCACTTGAATGCACTTCCCAATCACATTAAAAATATTACACATAGACACATGTTTAAAATTACATTAAAATCCCTCCTACTAAATGAGTAACATTCATTCATTCATTCATTCATTCATTCATTCATTCATTCATTCATCAACTTATTTATTTATTTATTTATTTATTTATTTATTTATTTATTTATTTATTTATTTATTTATTTATTCAGTTATCCAATTATTTATTTATTTATTTATTTATTTATTTATTTATTTATTTATTTATTTATTTATTTATTTATTCAGTTATCCAATTATTTATTTATTTATTTATTTATTTATTTATTTATTTATTTATTTATTTATTTATTTATTTATTTGTTCAGTTATCCAGTTATTTATTTATCTATTCATTCAGTTATTTACTAATTGATCAAATAATTGATAAAATATTTCATCAACAGTTTGTTATTTTACTTTACATTATTTCACTTATTTAATTATATTTCATTATATTTCTCAGTCATGCAGACACTTTCTGTGTATAACGCTCGGCGGGGACATGTCTATTTCCGTGTCCCTCACCAGTTGCATTCCTACAAAGCAATATTTTATTTATATATCCATTTCTGTACATTAATATTTATTTAATTTCCTTATGTTACTGGTGAAATATATTTCAAACTTTCAAACAGTATGATGAGCGGTATTTTGGTTTAAATTGAGACAAAAATAACAAAAAATCAAATCATTACATTAATTATATTTTTGTAATGTACGTATATATTCAGTTACATATAAAACATATTAAGAAGGCATTGAATTTCTGAATGACATTAATATATTCATTCACATTTAAAATCGAGTTCGCATAACGGCACAAACTTTTCGGTGCCACGATAATTATATCCTATGTATTAACATTTTTATTACGAAATAGCGAAGAGAAAATGCTAATGAACATGATAAATGTAGTTATTATTAGTAGTAATATTAGTAGTAACTGTTTCCCAGATGTTCAGTCAATTTTCTCAGCGTTTTGCTTATTTTGTACAGGAGTAACGTGCATATTTTACTGATGTTTTCTGAACATGTAACATGGACCACATTAGTTGCAACAGTGAGCCAAATGCAAAATAAAAACCATTAGTAAAGAAACTTAGCAAACTTGGT